AACATCAGGGACTTCCCATAACTAGGGCCAAAATGTTAGTTTGTTGATCAAAATAAAAGAGGAAAATAAAGGAAAGGAGAAGAAAGAGAGTGCATGGCAAGAAAACTAAATTGCAGAAAGAAATCGTGATGCCACCGCAAAAGTATGAAAACGTAGAAAATGAAATAGAAGATGAAGCTGAAGCTGAAGCTGAAGCATAAAACTAAACTTAAAAGAAGCTAGAAAGATGAATTTTGGGGCAAAGTGTAGTAAATTGAATTGCAAAAAACTAAATACATCGAGTGGAGATGTTCACAATGAAATAACAAAAATCAAAGTTGAAACTAATGGCAGCATAGAGCTAAAAACTAAGTTAGGAAAGCTATTTGAGGAAATTGGATATAAACTAAGACATTGCTTGTAAAACTAAAATGTTGATAGCGTTGGGTTAGTTGTGTGAGAGGCTGGTCTCTTTCGCTTTGTTTCTTTTCTGCATACTTATAGCAATAAACACCCCTTGGCAGCATGCTTGGAGATTTGCAGCAGCAATCTTGAAAAACCAATGGCAGCGTGATATCTGAAACAAACCTCTTGGAAGTTCGCAACAAACGAATGGCTTTGTTGTAGTTGTGGAAATAACCACTCAACTTTATCTAGAGAGATTTACTCCAACTACTTTCAACCAATAAAATTCTTGTCAACATTGATGACACGTGGCACCATTCTATTTTTTTGCAAAAATGGGTGTAAACAGATACATACATACCAGCTTAAGTGAATCAAGAAGATTTCGTAGTTTCTTAGTCTCCTCCTGATTGAAATCAAACTTTTCTTCATTTTCAATCATTATCTTTTGAAGGGATACTTCTTTGCTGGGTAGATTGGCTTGACTTTGCATTGGATTCTTAAATTCGAGCTAATATTTGAGCTTTCCCATGTAGCTTGAAGCAATTGTCTCTAGTATGGCGTGGTTTCTTGCAAAAAGTGCACCAAAGTCCATCTTTGGACTATTTGAGGTCATCACTCCCTGCTTTCTTTCCTCCTCCTTTCTTTCCTCCTTCGTCCAATCCTTTGGGAAGCCAAAGCAGAAGCAGGAGCTTCAGTTGAGTGTGACTCCAGCCTGACTTGACACTCTTTTGACTTTCCTCTCCTCTGCACGAACAGTTGAAAAAATTTGATGAAGAGAAGGCAAAGGACTATTACCCAGAAATTTGAACTCTGATTTGATCATATTCAACATTTAGGCCAACTAGGAACTCAAACACCCTATCATCCTAATGACCTCTTGGAAAAGCTAAACATCCTCACAGCGTTTCATTTGGATATCTTTATAGTGGTCAATCTCTAGCCATAATCCTGTCATTTTGTTGTAATTTGTCACTAACATGACATGTTTCCTTGCTTGGTGGAGGATACGAGCACTTTCAATTCGTAGACCGAGGCAAGATCCTTCTTTTTTGAGTAAGTTTGTTGCAAAGTTTACCATATGGCCTTTTGGCCTTTGCAGTTGGAAGAAAGGAAAATGTCAGGTTCCGACTGATTTCTAGTTTCATAGAGTTCCACAACCATGACCTGATCATGGACTCTCCCTTCATCCCGTGCCTTCAATTTTGGATCCTCAGTGTGGGGGGCAATGCCAATGCCAATCAAATTGCTTATCTTTTGACATCCTTTGAGAAAAGTTCAAACAAACATTAGCTCCATTGTAAGTAATTTGTCTCATCAAGACAATAAAGTGCATTCATATTTTGAAGCTAACCATTGGATCCATTGGAAATTATTTGGTCTTTCTGAACAACTTGGACGCTGAAGGGATACTCGACCATAGGCACCTTTGAAGTAATCGTGGCTAAGGCATCCGCCAACCAGTTCTTTGTTTGTGGCACTTGCTCATATCTTATGTTGGCAAATGATTGCTCTAAGTTTTGGCTGAGAGAGCAATATGGTGCAAGATGTTCTTCTTGGACAACGAAAGTGCTTTGGACCTAGCGGAGGATCAAACCTGAATTGCCAATGATTTTCAAGAGCTGCACGCCAGCTTCTTTAGCCATGGCAAGGCCAATAAGATAGGCTTCATACTCTGCCATGTTGTTTGTGCATTGAAATTCAAGCTTGAATGAAAATACTGCATCGTGGCCTTTGTCATCTTTGAGAACAACACTAGTCCCAGCCCTCTCAATCATGGAAAAACCATCAAAGTATAATGTCCATTCTTCGATTTTCTACACGGAGGCAACTTCACCATTGGGGACTTTGTCAGAAATGAGAAAGTCGTCAAAAATAGAATGTTGGACATCGTCAGAAAATTTAGACAGCAAGTCTGCAACAACCTGTCCCAAATGGTGATAGGATTAATGCATGTGATCATATTGAGACAATTGAAGAAGCCAATTAGCTAGACAAACAGTAAGCATGGGCCGAGTTAATAGGTACCGAATGGGCTGAAACTTAGTGATGAGTTGCACTTTATAAACCAAGAAGTAATGTTGAAGACGTTGAGATACATAACATAAATTAAAGCAAGACAAATCTTCTCAACAAAAGGGTACCTCGATTCAACACCTTTGAGGTTTCGATTGACATAATAAACTGGTTGTTCCTTACCCTCTTCATCATCTTCGGCAACTAGAGCACCCACAGCTTTGCTAGAAGTTGATAGATAGACTTTGAGCAACCTACCTTGGATAGGGACTGATATGGTTGGCAATATGAGCATAAGATCTTGAAGATGCAAAAAGGCATGTTGTTGCTCCTCTATCCGTGTGAATGTGGCCCCCTTTTTCAACAAAGGGCTAAATGCAAATAGAATTTTTGCTAGTGAAGGGATGAATTTACATATGTATGAAACTTTGCCAATGAAGCTTTGTAATTATTTAAGATTCTTAGGTGACTACATGGCTGTGATAACTTCAGACTTAGCTGGATTGACACTAATCCCATGTTTGCTCACAAGGAAACCTAGAAATTTTCCAACGGAGATGCTAAATGCGCATTTTGCTGGGTTCTTTTTTAGTTTGTATAAACGGCATCTGTTGAAGACTTTTCTCAACACATCGAAGTGGCCCAACCTTGTTTTGGACTTTACCACAATGTCACCAATATAAACTTCGATGTAGATGTGGATGAAATCATGAAAGATAGCCACCATCACTCTTTGGTAAGTAGCCTTAGCATTTTTTAATCCGAATGGCATGACAACATAATAGAAATTATTGATAGGAATGCGAAAAGCAGCCTTTTTTTCATCGCTAGGATACATACTCACTTGATTATATCCGCTGCTACCATCAATGAAAAGGTACATCTCGCAACCAGTAGTGTCATCCATCAACACATCCATGTTAGGAACAAAGAATTAATCCTTTGGACATGCTTGGACATGCCTCATTGAGGTCATGAAAGTCAACATAGCATATGATCTACCCATTTTTCTTTTGAATTGGCACAATATTGGCCAACCAAGTGGGCTTCTTGGTCGACTTGATGAATCTTGCAGCCAAGAGCTTCTCCATTTCCTCTTTAATTTTGAAAGTGACTTGGATGAAAAGCATGATTCGACTACACAATCGGTTTTACCTTGGGATTAACAGAAAGAATATGCCACCAACGTTGAATCTCAAGCCTCGACATCTCATCCTAGTTTTAGGCGAAGACATCCTTGTATTCCTGAAGCAAATCAATCATTTTGATTTTCTCATTAGTGGAGAGAGTAGTGTTGATATGTACATGTCTAGGGTTTGCTGAACCCACCGACCCATATGGGCTAAGATGGGCGACCTTACTCATCATTGTAATATAGATATGTGGATGTAGACTGAATCTGAGTAAGTTAGTTACGATCTGACGCTTGATGTTCGAGATTGAGGTGAATCTTTGATTTGTTATGATCTGATCTTTACAGATTTTCGAGTTTGAAATCTCTGATTTGTTACGACCTGATCGAGTTTGAAATCTCTGGAGAGATCATGGATTAGTTATGAGCAGATTTCTCGAACTTTTCAAATTTTGAATTAGGACAAATCTCTGAGGAGATTTGTTACGAGCTGGTCCTTGTCACTTTTTGAAATTTAAATTTGTAAAATCTCTAAAGAGATATGGTTAAAAGCGGTTAGTATTCTCAATCCCCCCCTAATAAATGCTGGCTCAGCGTTTGAAGAGACGTGACAGCTAAAGCCGGCGGACGTTACACGCCAAGCAATAAGTACCTGTCACGCGTAACATTTTGATTGGTTACCAGAGAGGTGTGTATGGTAATGATGGGCATAGTCGCTTAACCCCTCTGTCACCTCTGTCCTTGCTTTGGCATTCCATTTCCATATTCTCTGCATTCCTCTACGACAAAGGACTTCCAAAATTTCCAAGCAACATTTTCAGTTTTTCAGAGTTAATTTTTCAAGTAATAACAAATGGAATTTGTTAGCGAAGTAGGAGAACTTCGGGGTAACCAGGGTGTAGAAGGGGAAGAGAGCGTGATATCCGTAGAACCAATCACAATGGTTGTACCGCCGGAACTGCAAGACTTGTCGGAAACCCTTACGTCGGAGAGCAATGCCAGTTTAGGCGCGCACGAGGGCTCCGGTGCTAACCCTTCTCTGTCATCTGAAGGGTCGTCATCAGAAAACACTGCCAGTGCAAGTAGCCCCTCGTCGGAAAGTATGGAGGTGGCCGTAAATGTACCTGCGGTTGCGGGTTGGGAGAATAAAACCATAGGTGGCAGGCTGAGCAACTTTCGCAAAGCGCCACATACATTGACGGCCGGATTTAGGTTTAGGGCAAACTTGCATCATGAGGTAACAGATTGTGCTACCTCCATTAAAGGGTATAAGAGATTGGAGGATGTGGTGAGACAGTAGGACAGTTTTGTTATGAACTGGCACAAAAAATGAAAGGGTCTACAGTGTGTCAGCAACAGGGTGGATACCCGTATATGTGGACCACTTCGATGCCTGCCTGAGATTCCCCTTGCCCAGGCTGATTTTTGATCTTCTCTCAGAGTACGAGCTGGCGCTGACACAGCTAACCCCCAACAGCATAAACTTTATAATAGGATTTATTCACTCCACCTTCACTCCATGTGTTGTTACACCTGAAAATCCCGAGGATGTTTCCTCGGGGAAAACACTCCGACGCTCAAGTCAGCAATACTCGATATTATAGAAAGAGATGCTCTCAAGGAGTAATTGCAGAGAGAAAAGCGTAGAAATTGATTACCTTCATCGGAGGTAGTTGGGGGGTATTTATAGCCCCAAATGCTGACATGCATCTGCACGCGTGAGCATCTTATTAGCCCACGTGGTGCTGCCCACGTGGGTCCCATGTGGTGCTGCCCACGTGGGTATGTCTCCTCTTTTTGGGACTGTGGGCGCATAGTTGGGCCTGCTATATGTGGCCCAAAGTGGGTGTTGGGCCTAATCCCAACATTATCAAATTAATGTTTGGTTAAATGCTAAATTTAGTCCCTTAACTTTACGAAATGAACATTTTTGGTCCCTCAACAATTTTTTGCACTTTTTTGATCCCTTAACTTTAAAAATTGCACAGTTTTGATCCCTCCGTCAGTTAAGTATGATGTGGCAGTTAAATAATTTTACGTGGCATTGTTTTTTAATTTTTTTGATGATGTGGCACTAATATATATTATAATTATATTATATAAATAAATAAAAATATCACATAAATTAATATACATATTTTAATTAAAAACATATAAAATTACTTTATTACCCTCATCCTCACCTTCACCCTCCCAATCCCTCTTCTTCCCCTTCTTTTTTTCTCTTTCTTTCCTTCGGGTTGAAACCCAGCCTTGCTGGGTTCATTGACCAGCCAAGGCTGGGTTCATCGGAACCCAGCAGATCTGGGTTTCGACGAACCCAGCAAGGCTGGGTTCCGTCGAGCTGGGTTCCATTAAAACCCAACCTTGCTGGGTTCACGACCAGCCAAGGCTGGGTTTCGACGAACCCAGCAAGGTTGGGTTCCGTCGAACCCAGCTTTGCTGGGTTCCGTTGAAACCTTGCTCAGTAACCCAGCCTTGCTGGGGGGTTCGCAACCAGCCAAGGCTGGGTTCGTCGGAACCCAGCCTTCAACCGAACCCAGCTTTGCTGGGAAAGCTTGGTTCTTGTTTTTGCGTTCTTCTTTCGATTTCCATTTCCAGTTGTTAATATATTTGGAGATTGATTTATAATTCGATTGCATTTTTGTTGGAATTTGATTAAAGTTTGATTGTATTTTTGTTGAAATTTGATTAGAGTTTGATTGGTATTGTTTATTGAAGAGTTATTTTGATTTGGTAAGATCTGCCAGGTTTGAGTTTTCAATGAAACCCAGTTTCTCGAGAAAAGAGAAGAAGAAGAAATGGGTGGGTTAAGATCAGTTTTGTAGATGGAGTGGAGATGAGAGAGCATTCACGTAAGAAGAAGAAATGGGTTAAAATCGATTTTGTAGATGGAGTGGAGATGAGAGAGCATTCAGAGAATAAGAAGAAATGGGTTAAGATCGATTTTGCAGGTGGTGAAGATGAGAGACCAGTTTGCAGGAATCCATTGGAGGGATTTTGCGTAAAGAAGATGAAGATGACATGTCATAAAAAAAAAAGTCCAGATAAGTATCTTTTTAAGTAGTGCTCGCCATGTCATAAAAAAAAATATAAAAAATGCCATGTGACCAAGTGAACGGCCCAAATTGACAGAAGGATTAACGGAGTGCATTTTGTATAGTTGAGGGATCAAAAAAGTGCAAAAAATTGTTGAGGGACCAAAAATGTACAACTCACCAAAGTTGGGGGACCAAATTTAGCATTTAACCTTAATGTTTTCTTGGAGATGTTTGTTTTTTCGAAAGGAGGAAGAAGGAGCTTGCAAAGACGCTTCTTCGGTAAAGGAAAAGTATGATCGACGATTTTCTCTTGCCTCGCCTCGCCTCGTCTGAGTTTGGACGGCCTCTTCGCGCCTTGTTTCTCGTTCTGTATCTCACCTTTCTTTGTTTCGCTGCAGACTTAAATAATAAAAAAAATTTAATTTTTTCTTATTACATGTATGTTCGGATTTAATACGTTGTTACGCCACGTCATCGAGGGTCCACATGGGGGAAGGGTTTCTACGTGGCAAGTCGGTCGAGTTGACGGGGGGGAGACGAAGTTCTCCAATTGGCCTGCAAAAGAGAGGCCGGATAAACGTGCAGCCCTTTTAAGGTACTGAAAAAATCTACTACAGACTAGGATTCACTTCACTCCATGTAATCAAATATTATTTTAGGTTTTACTGGTATTAATGGGGTAGATTCTTTTTAGTTTTTTAATATAATTAGTTTAGAGAGGGATTTATTTATTTATAAATATTATACACTATACATGTATATAATTTTAATTAGTTATTTTTTTATTTTTAATAATTAAAATTTATTTATATTTATTAAAAATAATTATTTTTAGTTAAAAAATTTTAGATAAATCTTAATTATTAAAAATAAAAATATAATAATTAAAATTTTACATAAATATATAATGTAAAATTTATATATGAATAAATATCTTCTTCTAGTTTGTATTTATAAATATATTATCTACCCAAAAGCCTATATAAAGGTTATTGTATTTTGGAGAAAAAAATGTTTTGTAAATCAACTTTCTTAAATTTTTTTAATAGACTTGTCTAAAATCTTTAAAAACTAATTGTAGAATTAAAAATTTTATTTATATAAATAAGGCATGTGAATTTTCAAACTGATCTAAGAGATCTAACTAGTTTGTTAATTATATAAAATTTACACCATTAAATATATAATAATAGATGGATATTCTTTAATTAGAAAATTATAAATATTATATTAATATAAAAATAAACATACATGATCTATATAAATAAAATTTTTAATTCCATGATTAATTTTTAAAAATATTTAATTTAAAAATAAATTTTTGAACAAATTCTTCAAAAGAATTTTGAAATAACAACCTACATTACACTTACCTTACCTCATTATATTTAATTCTATATCTCTAAATTATAATAAAATATCTTCTTTCTATTTCTTTCTCCTAATTTCTTATGTTTTAAACCTTAATAACCTCAATGTCAATCTTTAACATATATATATATATATATATATTAAATGAGGAGCTCTTAAGTACAAGAGTAATCTCTTTATCTAACGATTTAAAGTTTTACAATTTGATGCAAATTAAATTGCAACCCTAAAGTAAACATTTCCCTTCCTTTTACCAACAAACAGAACTTCATCATCATAAATATTAACACTTTGCATGCATTTGATTCAAAAATAATTTTGTGCCCTTGTCACATACTTGATTTATGCTAATCAAATTACACTTGAGACCTTTTACATAATAAACATTTTCTATAACTAAACTAGAATTCTTACCTACTTTGCCAATACTTTTGATGTGGCCTTTTGCATTGTCACCAAAAGTCAATGTTTCTCCTTCCATTGCCTCAAGGTTCAAGAATTGTATTCGTCTCCTACATATGTCTAGAACACCCACTGTCCAGATAACACTTTTCTTTCTTCAATTTTGTAACACCCCATATACTTTAGTAAATAAATTAAAAATTAGAGTCTTTTATTTCAACATTTTAAGGACTAAATTGATTAGATTTAGAATATGTGAACCTTATGCAAAATTTTGAGATAGTTAGAGATTGTCTAACTAAATTAACCAAATTTGGAGACATGTGGCAATTTAACACCCATTTCACTGAGGCTTCCTCTTAAGGTCCAAATGTGATGCCTGTCATGTCCACTTCAGGATGTTGGGCCTTCACATTCTTCCTATAGTTGATGAAAGCCATAACTAGTGTGGGAAGGCAGTAAAGATCTACGATCTCTAAAAATGTGGTTGATTGAAAAAAGTGAGGGATGTGTTGCTCCATAGAATTGTGAACCTCCAACTTTGCCTGCTTCCAAATCTCAGCCAGCTCGGCATCCTTCTTGGATAGCTATTCCTTGTAAGCTTTCCTCTTTAAGTTAGCTTGCTCGACATCCTTCTTAGTAGTTGCCAGCTCCTTCCTCAGCTTCTCTAACTCGGAGGTTAAGCTGTTGAAGTTCTGCTCGATTGACTGCTTTTTTTTAGTTTAGATCTTCATTCTCTAACACTAACTTATTGCACTCTTTAAGGCAATAGAATTACTCAACTGCCAGAGCGTTTACGAGGTTAGCCGTTTGCATTGAATACTGAAGTAAGAACTGTCACAAAACTAAGTCAAAGATGGGTGGGGAGAAGTTCTCGAAATCCTGTACCTCAAGAGCCTAGTGAACCACTCCAACTTTGCCATGGGCATTAACCTTATCCCTCGCTCGGTTGAGATCCACCTGGGAGAAGGTGGAGTTAATGAACCTCTTTACAGTGTTGCTGTTGCTTGCCTCGTAGAAGCTGGACTTTTGCACTGGAAGGGGAACCGTACTCTTCCCTTTTCCATCGGTCACAACCCCAACTTCCCACAGCTTGGGATCGAGGTCAACTGGCAAGGGCTGAGGTACGAAATCCATCGGCACCTCTCCTGGATGCCACATCTCCTTCACTTTCCTTTTCTTGTGTGTGGCCCTATCTTCCTCTGCCCCCTTCCAGACTACTTCGAAGCTTGGCCTAGCAGTTGAAGGCCGCTGATAGCAAACTAGTGCACCTTGGGCACCAGAAGTCCCAACTCCAATTCTCTCCTCCACCTGTGCGACCGTCAGAGTTTTGGACTTTTTTTTTTCAGCAAAGTGATATTGCCACTCCTAGATAGTAAATGATTCATTTCTTCTACAAAACAAACAATAG